TTGCCAAAAAGGGAAAAAGAAAGAAAAAATTTAAAAAAAGGGGGAAGGAAAAAAATAAACGCCACCATTTTCCTTTTTTTTTTTATTAATTTAAAAAAAAATAACCACTTTTATTTTCAAAAAAATAATTTGGTTTTTTGAATTTGGTGGTAAGGCCTCGCTGGTGGGCAAATAACCTAACCCGCCCAAAAATTAAAATTGTAAGTAAACAATAATATACTGAAACGGTACATCGAATTAATATGGGGCACCTCAACATATTGAAAATAATGCTTGCATGATTTGATACTTGTAATGTTTCCATGGAACAATTAGGATCGTTAATAATGTTTTTGCCAACTCGTACGAATGTGTTTGGCAGCACTCGTTTTCAAATGGGGCAGCTTCCTCGGGGCTCCTATTTGTCACGCAGATACTGAACGTAAAACCACCCAACGTAAAGCCAAAGACTTGCAATTTTGCTCGGTTACATAAATACTATTGTTACAGTTTTGTATTTATTATGCAACTTATGTTTGTTTTCAACTTCAATTTTTAGTTTATTAATTTGGATTTAAATTATATTTTCTTGAGAATATTATCTCAAACCATGCCTTTCCCATTTTCATGCGTACGTTGCTGTGACATTGGATTAGGGGAGAGAAAAGTTGGAGCTCTTTTGCAATATATTTTGTTTTGTAAATTGCTTATTTTAGATGTATACAAACACATGACACAGAAACCTCCTTTGTTTTCAAAAGCTATGCAGCGATCTTATTTTTAAAGATATTTAGGAAAATATTAGATGAAAGAAAAATAATTCTTATCACCCAATGAAAATATGAAGACGGAAAAACAAAAGATGACATAAAAGACAAAGGGGGAGAACGAAATGGTAAAAGAGTTTAGAGAAAGAAAAGTTCGAAAAAATGGGACGATAAGAAGTTCGAAGGAACAACAAGGAAGAATAAAACAACTTTAAAGAAAATATCTCTAATTCTAAAGAGAAAATCTGCAATTTCTTGTTTGTCTTTTTTGCTGTTTTCGGGCCTTCGCCAACGCACGAGGTTCACGTTGGATAGCAGAGCTCCCGCTGCCCGTGCTGGGAACGTGCGGCCCGACGGGGATTTCCACAGCGGCAGGAGCTACAAAAGGCGCCTCAGCGGCGGCTTTGCAAGCATCAGTCGCTCGCAGCCCTCAACACCCACAGCGCCTCTCCACACGCCGCACACTACGTGAGTAGCTCCAGCGATCCAACAACCTCTCGCTTGCAACCGAAAACTACAACGGCTGAGATGGCTCAGAGCTGCAATCGTTGCTACATCTCTGGCCTCGGGGTTCAGGATTCGGGTTGCAAATGAAATACTCTCGAATAATTCCGCTATAAATAAAATACAACAAAAACTCTTTACAAATACTAGATTAACAGGATATATGTCTAGAGAGGAAACGTCGAAACTCCGTAAATAAGCTCTCAGGACAATTTTAAGCATATTTTGTCTAATAAACTCCTTGGGTATTCTGAATAATAATTTCGTATAAAGCCTTCAAAATTGTTTTGAGAAAATTCTTGGGATAGAAAGTGCATAATATAAACATATAGACACTCCAAAAATATAAATTGTTTATATTTACAAAATAAATTAATATATTTGTTCACAAAAACAAAATTACCCGGAAATGATATAAGGAAGTTTAATCCTGTAAATTGGGTGCTTTTTTTTATTATTTTTAATCTACGAGAGATAAGCTTTTCTTATAATAATTTTCACAAAAAATTATAAGTAACTTTAATTAACTTAAATTAAAAAGAAGCCAGTGAGGGCAAATTATAATTTATTTAGAGGCCAACATTTACATCGAAATTATGACTCATACTTCTACTCTAGAACGAAACGTAGAAGGCTCAAAGTATTTTCTAATCACAAACCATTTGTGTTTTAAACGTAAGCTTTCTCACTAATAGCCATTATGCAAAGGTATAAATATTCACAGAGTGCGTCGTGTTCCAGCATGAAGGCCGCCATGTTGCTGTTGCCACTGCTGGCCCTCGCGTGCTTCGCGCACGCGCTGCCCGTGAAACCAGACGTGCTCTCTTCCGCGGACGACGTGCACGCGAACGGCGCGGCGGAGCCACACGTGGTGGAGGCGGACGCGGATTCGCTCCGCGCGGTGGACACCCCGGCGTCTGACAAGTTGGTGAGTTTTCCTTCGGGTGTAAAGAAACGATTCTCTAAGAAGGGACCGGTTTGGCATAATAAAAACAAATAAACGTCTTGTTCGATGATGGCATTACAAGAGAATGGTGTTGAAGCCATTTAAAAGAGAGATAACTGCCAAAGAACGATTAATGAATTGGGAGATAAATAGAAACTGCAGATTTGTTCCCAGAAACACCTATGCAGAAGTTCTCAAAGAACTCCCTTTTTAGATTACTATCTGTACATTGGCGTATCACATTTGTATTCCTGGGAAGACGTCACCTCCTCTCCTAGTATAGGCTGAGATGGCTGATGTAACTACAGTGGCTCTGACGGGAGGTCCGAGTGTTCTTGTCCTGACAGTGGAGAATTTTCGATACTAGCTAGATAGCAGAGGCGAACTCAAACGCTGTCTATAAGATAGTTCTAGCGGGCAGTTGCCTTGCTCGTTTATTCATTTATCCATTTACCCATTTATTCGATTATTATATTATCCATTTATTTATTTAGACGTTTATGCATTTGTTCGTTAATTCATTTATCTCATTATGCATTTGCTAATGTATTCAATTATTCATTTGTGTATTTATCCATTTATGCATATGTTAATTTGTTCATTTATTCATTTGTGCATTTCCTTGTGTCGCGCAGGTGCGCGATCGCCGCTCCCCCTTCCAGCCGCGCCCTCAGCCTCAGGGGCAGGGCCAGGGGCAGGGCCAGGGCCAGGGGCAGGTCCAGGGCCAGGGGCAGGAGGGGAGGGGCACGGTGTCGGGGGGCGTGCACCGGGAGCGCGGCGTGGGCACGGTGGTGCACGCGCAGGGCGAGGGCACCGTCTGGCGCAGCAGGGACGGCCGCACCAGCGTCGACGCGCACGGCCAGTACGAGCGCGTGGTGCGCGGCCCGGCCAGGGGCCGCCCCAACTACAACGTGGGCGTGCGCTTCCAGCACCGCATCTGACGCCACCACACCACTTCCCACATCCACGCACCTAGCAGCGGCTTTCGAAGATGATGTTTCAAGCTAGATCATCGATGGATTCAATGCAGATTTTTGAGACGATGTTTAACTTCCATGTTTTATGTTAGATGTAATTAATGTTAATTTATATTTCAATAAATATTTCTATTAAAAAACCTGTGATAATTTTCCATTATCCTCTGTACTCAAAAAGATTCTCGTAACGCAAAAGTTGTAAGAGAAAATTGGCCCTAATATCATGCTTTTTCAGTGACGCTCAATATAACATTTCTAAATAACGGCTCTAAAGCTTTCAACAAAAATATGCATTTTTTCTAATTTCTTTTGTAATCTCTTCTTACCGTCATATTTTCTTAAATTTTACCATTAGGGAATTGAAAGATTGATTTTTTGGACGACTAGTACGCTGAGATAGAGGATATTAGGAAAGATAGGGCGCTCAGAACTGAACTCCTAGATTAAAGAGATTAGAAAAATAAGTAGTTGGGGAATGTCTGTGACATTCTCTAGTAGCAATACGTAATAGTTTATATTTGAATAACAAAATGTAATAACAATGAAAACAACGACGTTTCTGAACAGGGATGTGACATAGGTGCCGTTGTTGTACAAAAATAAAAAAATTTCGAAAAATCATCGCTGCATTTAACATTGTTTTTTTACGTGGATGTATTTTTACTTCGATGTTTTGTGTTGCACGTATTTACATGATTGATATTGTATACTATCTTAATGTATTACTGACGACGCTTGAATAAGTTTTAAAAATATTTGTGATTCTGGTCTCGGAATATTTGTCATCTCCCTGGGAATAAACATTTGGGAAAAAGTCCTACAGAAGGTTTAGGCGCTAGTGATATTCATAGGACAGACAGACGTTTAGAAAACCACTTGTTCAATATCAGGGGACTTCAATACGTGTATTTCCGTTTAAATCTCAAAATGGATTCCCCACACATTATATATTTGGTCTACACAACGTATATTCCTCAGCGGACCCTAACTACAAACGGCAAAAAAGAATTTGGACAAAATTCTTAGAATCTTCATTTATCTCACATATCATCAGTTCCCCACTAGATGACAGAGACAATTCTGGCCGTTAGCAGCTAAAATCGACCAATCAAGCCAGTGTCGAAAATCCGTCCGTTTATACTTGACCTTTTTACATAGCCTTGCAGCTTAGTCAGCGGCAATGCGAACTCTGAGCAAACTCAGGTGGTGACAACAATACTATAAGTCGAACACAATGCAAACACATTGCTGAAAATATGTACTCAATAATGGTTTTGTCAGTCAAAAAATTGCACAGCGGAAGAGCAAACAGAGATCAGTCCTCCTCTCCAGATTTCCCAAAGTTAAATTCCGTCCTCGCCTCATCTCTTTATACCCAAGGCGATTCGCAGCGGACGTCCAGTTACACCCAGCGGTCCAACCTGCCCACGTCGCCGCGAAGCTTTCACCACCCGTGACCAAGGTAAGTCTCGCTGTTGTTACTTGACTACATGCTGTATTAAATTTGTTCAAAGGGGGACAATATCATTGTATATGATTAACACTGGTTTCGCTAAGTAGTAAAGTAGTAATTATTCAGTATAAAGTGATATACTTCTGCCGAAAAAGCCGCATAGCAGTTGATAATCTCAGTGTATTCAATTTCCAACTGATGTTTGTACATTCAAAAAAATGTGTATCTTCGACACTTCTCTATGCCTTAATTTAGTTTTAACATGTCTTTGTAATCACTCTGTTCAACATAAAATAAAAAACCATACATGATTGTCTCTTCTATGACAACATTGGAATAACAAACTTTTTGATTTACATCCCTGGTTAATAAACAATTATCAAATCATACTAATTTCTTTAGACAAAATTACAATGTTACAATTCAAATTTCTTAAGGTTTTGATCACAGCTTTGCTTTCTTTACCTGTTTTAAATGTTTCAGGAAATACTGCATAATTGTAATAAAACAACAAACGAATATATCATGACGGCGTTTTATAAAATCTACCTATTTTAAAATTTAAATAAACGTGTTTTTGCACCAATGGATTTGAATTAGAACAAATGAGATATTATTGGTGTAATAAGCAATTGTATTTATTGAAATGCTCCCGCTCACTACTATCCAATTACATGGTCCCTCTTATTCCATCTGTGGGAAGAAAATTATCCAAAGATTGCCACAAAGGTGTCTACACTGAAGAAATAATTACTGCCTTCACAATGTCAAGACGTGGTCTATAGCAGGTTTCGCCAACTGGTGAAGAAATGACTTCGGAGCTCCGTTACCCTCCGCTAGCAGAGAGAGTTGGCTCACACTGGTGACAAAATCCTTGGCACAGGTTGTTGTGTCTACGCCCGTTAATTTTCTTTCGATTTGGGAAGAAATATTTCTTTTTGTGGATACCGTAACAATGGCGATGTGTTTAGTGTGTTCGAAAGAACTGTAGTATGACAAAAAGTTCAACCGACAGAGGTATTACGCAGATTTGCAAACCAAGAGAAACAAGCAAATTGAAAATAATTTCTGACAATTTACAGATAGCCTGCAATCATGAGATAAAAAAAGGATTTTGCAGATAGAAGGTTATGGGAAAAGTACTTAAAAGCACGATGATTTACAACATTCTCAAACAAAACTGTACATGAAATATTTAAGATTAGATTGCATAATTCTTCCAAGCGACCCTGGTATCAATTTGTTAACATTTATTGCTTGGCACATATGACACATTAATACGTGTTTCTCTCTTTATGTGGCCTCGCTGATTGTGAATCCGGAGGTAGAGTGATAACACCACCCTCGACTGATTTTTTAATAGCGGAAAACCAGCGTGCGTTTGTATATGTAAATTTCTCTGTGATTTTTGCAATTAAAAACTGGAAGGTGGTGGCGCAATTCTGGCTACAAATTTGGATTCAGCGCTTTGCCATACATAGAGAAACATGTGCCATGTCTTAGGGTCTGACGACAACTATCGAGAACCAAAATATACAATGTCACAACGGTTTATTGCGATTTAAAAATAGAAGGTGATGGTGCAATTCTAGCTTCAGATTCAGCTCGTCGAAATACATAGAGAAACATGTGTCAAGTTTTGGGGTCTCACAACCTTTTTATTTTGTGTGCCTGTGTTTTTGGTTCAGGACGAATAAATGCTTATATTTTATAACATGGTATTAGAATCTTAAATCATTTACCATTAATGTTCTGCGTTAGGAGAATGGAAGTGGAAGTAATGTCTACGATACAGTCGGATGTTACCACGCGTTATAATATAATCTACAATCTACTTTTTTAAATTTTTTATTTTTTAATCATTAACATTTAAATACTAAATACCATTTAAAAACTTAATTATCGAGCTATTTTTCCCCACTTACGTCCATCATTGAATCGTTACGCCCGCTTCGCTCATACGACACTCGGAGCAGTAGAGCAGTTTTTGTGACGTCACAGACAATTGAGTTGGCAAGCACTGTTCTTCAAGTTCAAGGCAACTGCTCGCACGGTAAAACTGTTGAAGAACTTCTTTCTGAATAATTATTCCATGAAATGTTCATAAGTTAATATTCAAAACAGATTGCTGTAATTTCAAATATGTTTATTCTCTAGAATTGTGTACTCTGTTTTTTTCTTGGTGAATCAACTTTTCATCTTACAGCGCGAGAAGACAGTTCGCAGCTGACATGATGGCTTTAAAGCCACTGTGGTATTAAGAAGATAAGGTTCCCTGGAAGGAGGGTAAAGAAGCGTGGAATGATAAGAACTTGGGAAGTCGGCGTGGGTTGATAACTGTAGTAATGGAGGAGAAAGGATAGGAAGAGGGTCAATGGGAGGACCGAGAATTATGGAAATCGAAAACGGCGAACTATAAGGGGTAAAAACCGTAGAAGAAGAAGAGGAAAATATTTAAGCGACATTGTCTAAATGCCAATTTAGAGAACAGCGTTCGAAGGAACTTGTTCGTTCCTGTACTACTTTTACTTACTAGGCAGATTGTTTGGAAGCTTTTCAGAAATTTAATTCGAAGCACTGGTGGATCCAGGGGAGGGGGGCATGATGGCCATACATTCCCCAAAACAGTTTTTGCTTTTTTTCTATTATTTAGCAAACTTTATTTCAATATTTATGGTCGAATTATGTAATTATTTAAACAACTATAGTATAGTCATGGTATCATGATTACAGTATATAAATAATACAGAATATAGAAACAAATATGGTTATTTTTGTTATACAAAATTCTGATGCCCTCCTCCAAAATTGTCGGGTGGGCCTGCTCCTGAGTCTTAAGTATTTCAATAAATTAATGTAATAAGTATACTATCTTTTTACTTTAAGCATAAAATGATCTTTACATGATTTCAATGTCAAAAAAGTGTCAAGACTTAAATTACGACTATATCTGTCGAACGAAACAGACATTTTTGAGAAATGTTCATGGACGTTCTGCCTAATTCGAAAAGACTTTAAGGGAATACAATCTTAATATTTGTCAAATAGGTACCGACCTGGAGTCCAAATTCAATTTATAAAACACTTATTTTATAACAATAATACAGGTTTATAATTCTTTGCATAAGTGAGAGCGAAACATTTTATAGATGTAATAAAAAAATAAAATAAGGCGCATTCCATTTAGTTTATTATTAAAAATACGTTAACTAAATTTCGTCTGAATTTAAGGGTCCTTGTCGTGTAATTTTTTAAAATTATTTTTTATTAGCCAACTTCACATCCATTAAAGGGAAAGGCCTCCTGCTCACGCAGGGAATTATTAATCCTTCTGTAATGAAGCTTTAAGACGGTGATGAAGGGAGAAAGAACGATAACAAATACATCCACAGCCGAAGCGGGTCGCGATCCTTCGATCCGAGATCGCTACGACACTACGGCCTTACCGATCTCGGCTATGCGAATCGACTGTCCTGTAGTACTGAACACCAAATTATGTACGTAAACATGA